AGGCGATGCGTTCATTATTTTAGTGTCGTAATTCAAGGCTGGTTCTGGTAAATAGTTCTACCTAGCCCAAGACAGTTGAGTTCGAGATTGCGCACGTACGCGCGGTGAATATTTGGGCCCGATCGTATTCTGACATCAGAAGCGCGCACGCGTCGATCTATATGTCGATCCTTGGATCTTGGGCCGCTGCCGCCTCCTCTTCTTCCTTCTCTTCCATCTCCTCGTCAGCAGCTGCAGCCATCGTCCCCACTAGCGCCTTTTCCATCTCCTCCTCCTCCTCCTCCTCCTCCTCCTCCTCCTCCTCCTCCTCCTCCTCCTCCTCCTCCTCCTCCTCCTCCTCCTCCTCCTCCTCCTCCTCCTCCTCCTCCTCCTCCTCCTCCTCCTCCTCCTCCTCCTCCTCCTCCTCCTCCTCCTCCTCCTCCTCCTCCTCCTCCTCCTCCTCCTCCTCCTCCTCCTCCTCCTCCTCCTCCTCCTCCTCCTCCTCCTCCTCCTCCTCCTCCTCCTCCTCCTCCTCCTCCTCCTCCTCCTCCTCCTCCTCCTCCTCCTCCTCCTCCTCCTCCTCCTCCTCCTCCTCCTCCTCCTCCTCCTCCTCCTCCTCCTCCTCCTCCTCCTCCTCCTCCTCCTCCTCCTCCTCCTCCTCCTCCTCCTCCTCCTCCTCCTCCTCCTCCTCCTCCTCCTCCTCCTCCTCCTCCTCCACTACCGCCTTTTCCTCCGCGACCGCAGCCAACTCCTACTCTTTCTCCTCTTCCCACTCCACCTCTTCCTCTTCCTCCTCCTCCTCCTCCTCCTCCTCTTCCTCTAACTCTTCTATCTCCTTCTCCACCTCTTCATCTTCCTCGACCGCTAGTGCCTCCGCCCCTCCGCCACCCCCGGCGCTCGGGTGGTAAAGTTAGTGTACGCGCACGTCGCGGCGGTGCAGTAGAATTACGGCGGGTCGCCGGCTGCCATCTTGGAGCTCGCTCGCTCGCTTTCGGGGAAGCCGGCCGCCCGCGGGTAGGATAATTACAACGTCCACGCGCCCCAGCTCGCGTCGCAGCCGGCTCCAGTTAAGGCCGACTACGTTCGTGAGGTGTGCCAGAATCGCGGGAACGAGGACAAGCCTATCTGCGGTCAGCACAACCCTCCAACACGGCCAAAATTCAAGCCCGGAATGCGTTAGGTGAGCACTAGTAGCGACGGCACCGATTCTTTTTATCCCGCTCTCAATTTCCGCAGATCGCTCATTCTTCCCGTCCTCGTCTCCCTCGCACTCGTCCACCCGCGTGCACGTACACGCACAGGGGTAAGCGCGCGCGTGCATGCGCCCGTCCGTCCGCATAGCGTTCGCTTTGCATGCCAGCCTCGCTTGCTTGTGTTCGGTGGTCGCGGCGGTAGGCGGGGCAGGGGAGGGGGCGCCAGGAGACTGGCGGGCGGCAAAGGGCCAAAGAGCTGAACTAACTTCTTGGAAGTCTTCTTCGGGTCGACTTCCTCGTGTGAACTTGCACCTTCGCGCATGTATTATTATGCCCACACATACGAAGAAATGAAAACGAGGGAGCAAGTAGAAAGAGAAAGATAAAGAGAGAGATGGAGTGAGGATGATACGGTGAGCGGCAGTATGCGCGTGCCTACGTGTGCTATGAAGAGTGAAGGAGGGAGAGAGAGAGAGAGAGAGAGAGTTAGTGAGAGAACGAGCGAGTGAGTGAGTGAGTGAGTGAGCAAGCGAATTGGACGAAGACGCGACTTCTATAAGAATGCCTTTATCCTCGACTCCTAGAAGTCTTAATCCCAATGCACCTCGAATTCCGGGATTTCAGATACGTGCTTCCGAGCAGCACGCGGTGGCTTATTGTTTTGTGCATGTGTGAGTGTATACACGACTCTCCCGCACACCTCGCGTACATAACGCACGCGCGCGCTCTATAATATAAAGTATTTTCTATCTTTTTCTCTCTTTCCTTTGGTCATTCGCACGTTTTTGGATCTTTCGCGAGAAGTTTTTTAACGTCAACTTTTCTAGCAAATATCAAGTTTATTTGCATGCGGTAAAACACATCATTCCTTTCCTTCGATTACTTACTCATATGCTATTTCTTCGTTTAATTCATATTATTACAAATATATTGCACAAAATCATAAAACTTTCATAGTTTAACGAGTATTTATTTATATTTATTCCACGTTGTTAGGTTTTTAATAAATCGAGTTAAGCTATGAAAAGTTTGAGGTTACGTTTTTGAATGGCTGTATGAGAACTTTCATTCGATAATTATACGTTAAAAATGACTGACATCCTTAGCAGTTATTACTCACGTTCTCAAAATCGAAAATTCATCAATTAATTATATATCAAATTATTATTATTGTTATTCGAATAAATTTAAAAGAGAACTTAATATCCAACAATAATACCTTAACATTTAAAATATAATAATTACTAATCTTTAATTGAGAAAAAAAATTTAAACATTTTGTATCATGTGCTGTACCTATTAGGGTTTCACAAAATACATTCTGTCTTAAGTTATATATTTTTCGCATTATATATATATATATATATATATATATATATATACATACGCGCGCGCCTATGTGTGTTTGTTCATTGCCCTACGTGTATGCGTGTGTCTAGAAAGAGAGGACTTTAAAGGTTTCCTTAACAACTTTTATATATTTTTTATAAAATATTTCATTGTAATTATTAGCCAAAATGTTTAAATTAATAAATTAATTCATATTTATATCATGCATTTCTCAAAATAGTATTATTAATTAACTAAGAATTGATTGATATAGTCCGTTGTTTCTGTGTTGGGTAAGCTAAATACTTTGCGACTAATTTGTTTTTTTTTTTTTTTTTTTTTGTTGAACTGCTCACAAAACCAGATATTACTAAGATATGATATTTGTAACAATTCAGATAAATTATTAAATAATTTAAAATATTTATCCAAGTTGTGATTTTATTTAATCTGTTCATTTTCAAAAGGTGAAATAAATATATATTGCAATGATCCATTAAAAATAATTAAACATTTAAGTAGTTGGTACATAAACATTCTATAACATAGGTTTTTGTATAATCAAGATTTCTAGTCAATACAATATAAACTTATATTTATATATTATAGATTATAGATTATATACTTGTGACAACTTATGTAAGCTTATTATTATTATTATATATGTATTCAAGTAAATTGACCTTAATATTTTATTAATAATTGAAAATAATAAATAATATTAATATTAATTTGTAAAATATATCGTACCTATACAGTATATTATTGTCATGTTAAAATTTAAATAATGATATAATTAATTTATAAATCATAATAACCATTTATAACAAAATGTAGGCTTTGTATGGAAAATATTTAAAATACAATTTCTGTTAATTTTCTTTCATTTCTTAGTAAAATAATAAAAATCTATTTAATTCTAATATATATATTATTCTAATATTTATTAATTTAATATCTAATAATTAATCTGATATAATTATTCAATTTATGTTATAAATTATACCAATAAAAGGCAATTAAAAAATATTATGATGTTTCCTTATAATTTATTGTAGGTTTACTGGTCTATTCTTATTTTGGTAGTCGGAAAAGAAGGAAAAACATATTGTTTAGAGGACAGCGTGTTTTTTCATTACAAGACCAAGGCAGTTTGGTAAAGAATAGTGAAGTAACAAATTGTAATCATCACTTTTTTGAAAGAATGGCAGTTCCAACAAGATCAAGAGTGTATACAGATGTTAATTCACACAAACCCAGAGAATACTGGGATTATGAGTCATATGTTGTCAATTGGGGGTAAGAGTCTTCTTTATTTTAAAAATTTTCAATACTTTTTCAGTACTATAAAATTATATAAATTTTATAATTTTATCTAATAGAAAAAATTTATAAGTACAAATTTGAATTATGAATATAATTATAATTATTTTTATCTATATTTTAATCATATTTGTATCCAAAAACTAATATTTATTTAAATTTCTCTAATTTCATATAAAAAATATTCAGTTTTATTCTACAAATCTATTTAAGGTTATGTAAACTGTATCTGATTTACTATTTTCTTATTAGTTTTGTAGTATTATAAGTAATTTTATAAGAAAAATCTAACAAGTGACAGAAGTTCGAAATAATACAGTTAAATGAAAATATTGTTAGATTAGGCTTTTTTATATTTTACTAACAATATTCAATTCATTTTGCAGTCAACAAGATGACTATCAGTTAATAAGAAAACTGGGCCGTGGCAAATACAGTGAAGTGTTTGAGGCTGTTAATATTGGAAGCTCTGAAAAATGTGTTGTTAAAATATTAAAGGTTAATATTACATTTAAATATGTATGTTTTGTAATTTGAAAGATATTAATTTAAATTTTACAATTTGCAGCCAGTTAAAAAGAAGAAGATAAAGAGGGAAATTAAAATCTTAGAAAATCTTAGGGGAGGGACCAATATTATAACACTTCAAGCTGTAGTTAAAGATCCAGTTTCTAGGACACCAGCATTAATATTTGAACATGTTAATAACACAGATTTTAAGCAGCTATACCAGACATTAACGGATTATGATATAAGATACTACCTCTATGAGTTATTAAAGGTAATATTGATTCTCACCAATTTTATTTTAATATAAATAAAATATGAATTACTTTAGTATACTTTAATTATATATTATTCTGTAGGCATTAGAATATTGCCATAGTATGGGTATTATGCACAGAGATGTGAAACCGCACAATGTTATGATCGATCACGAAAATCGAAAGTTGCGATTAATTGATTGGGGTTTGGCGGAATTTTATCATCCAGGTCAAGACTACAATGTACGTGTTGCGTCGCGTTACTTCAAAGGGCCAGAGCTCCTAGTAGATTATCAGGTAGTTATTCAATATTTATTTAGTTACGTCTCATAAAAATTAATTCAAAAGAATTATTTTGTTTTGACTTTACAATAATAATTCAGCTATCGTATCACAATTTAAATTTAAGAAATATAGAATTAAATTAAATTGAAATATTTGTAATTAAACGTTAATATATTTTAAATGTTGCATATTAAATTAAACTGCATTTTATATGAAATACAATTAATATTTCCTTCATTTTAATATTTATTCATTATCTCTCAAAATGTTTGATAATAATTTAAAATATATTCTTATTTGAAAACGAACTAGAATGAAAATGTGATATTACTTTATATAAATAAGTTTTGCTACATAATGTTCAATAGTGATGCAGTTAATAAAGTAAGACAAAATCTAATATTTTGTATTATAATTCTCAGATGTATGATTATTCTTTGGATATGTGGTCATTGGGCTGTATGTTTGCAAGCATGATATTCAGGAAAGAACCTTTCTTCCATGGCCACGACAATTACGATCAGCTCGTAAGGATTGCCAAAGTTCTGGGTACACAAGAACTTTTTGAGTACCTAGACAAATACCATATCGAGCTTGATCCTCGCTTCAACGATATACTGGGTAGACACTCGCGCAAGCGTTGGGAACGCTTTGTCAATCCAGAAAATCAGCATCTTGTTTCCCCGGAAAGCCTAGATTTCCTTGATAAACTTCTTCGTTACGATCACTACGAGAGACTAACCGCGCGCGATGCCATGGACCATCCATATTTTAGTGAGTATATGCTGTAATAAAATATTAAATATTATTTTCGATATTGTAAAAGCATTATTTTAAACTTTAAATAATCCATTAACCGTTAAAGACTGATTGATAAAATCATTAACTTATATTTTAACAAATTTTTTAAAATATACAATGGTGAATCTCTGATATAAAATTGGAATTTATATTTTTATAATTTTATTTATATCAATACTTATACATTAATAAAGTAGAATTACTTGTATAACAATACTTAATGTTTAAATCATAACAATAATTTGTATACATTAACAATATTAATTATTTATATAATCTATCTATGTGTGATAATGGAGTAGATACTCTTCCATGTATTATTCTTATTAATTTTTAGAACATGAGAAGTTTATCATCTCATGAACACAAGAATACTCTACTTCTATTATACATTCTATATATTCTATAATATATTAATATTAGGTACTTTATTTAACCATGACCTACATCATTTAAATCTAATTTGATTTTATCTTGTATAACGAATTAAAGAAAAAAAAAACTAAATATCATTGATTAATTTTTATATCAATGTATCACTTCAAATTTATTACTTTTAATAGGAAAAAGTAATAATGAAGTATGGTTTAATAAATATTAAGATTATTTTTATTAATAACACTAACTTTAATTATATATTAGTTGATAGATAAAGTTAATAAAAGTATAATATTCAATAATAATTAAACGTTGATACACATAATATCTTTGTAGAAATCAGTAATGATAAATAATGTACGTAAATAATTTTTCATACAATTAATTTATTTAGATCGTAATTGAAAAAATTATATACTGTATATAATTTATTAAGCATTGTTATTATCATTTAACAGTTATAAATATTTAAAGAAAAAATAAAATTTTATATCCAATATAATGTTCAGTTCATGTTAATATATTAAGTTATGTGTAAAATCATTAATATATCTTTCTTTGATTAATTTATTGATGACATTTTTTTGTGTATCAATCATTTTAAGTTATTTATTTCAAACACTATTTTGTACTTACAAAACCATAATATAAACAAAAAATATAGATTTCTATTTAAATTTTCACAATAGAATACAATAGAATATTCTATATAATACAAATATAAAATTTTGATTGATAACTTTAATTATTATAAAAAAATCTTATATATTTTCCATAGGCCCAATTGTAAAGGACCAAGCCCGAAAGGCCTTGATGTCGTCGTCACCTACTCCCATGACAGGCTCATTGCCTGTAGGTGAGTAGCGGCCCAGGTAATGTCATCATGTTAATTCGCTTCTACCTTAAAATAAAATTTAAAAATCAAAAAATAAAAAACAAATAACTTGAATTATACATTAATGGCTTACATGCTTTGATATATGCATGTTGAAATTGTGTATGTAAAAATTTTAAATTACATAAAGTACGTCTTGAACTAAGCACAAGGATGCCTTACTCCTTTCACTTTTTAATTACAATTTTTAATCATTCATTAAAAAGAAGTAAGAACAATCGTGTATACAAATTTATATGACAAAGCAATATGTAGTCTAAATATTAGTATCAACAAAACAGAAAGCAAAGTGAAAATTTAAGTATTTTTTTTCTAACAAATGTTGCATAATATCAAAAGAACTTACTAATTAATAAATATTGTGAATAGTTTATATTGATAAGATTTATTTATTTGTAAAGTCATCTTATGGCAGTCATATTTTTTAGGTATCTTAGTTGATATATGAGAGAAATATTAAAGAAGCGCCTGAGTGAAATGAAGCTGATGTGCATTGACTCTATTTATTTTATAGAAATTGAGTATTTTTCGAGACTTATAGAAGTCATTAAAAAACTATTCAAAAAGTTACTAATTTTGACATATATATTTTTTATTTTTTGTTTTTTTGTTTTTTTGTTTTTTTTTTGTTTTTTTTTTTTTTTTTTTTTTTAAGAAAGTTTTATCAATTCGCTTTTTCAATAAATAGTCTTATTTGTTCCGACAACCATTTCTCATGTGATGTACAATTAATTATTTTCGAATTGGTGTACGTCTCTATTTTTCATTGTTAGTATAAATACACATTAGTTAGGGTAACAATTTGTAATGTCCATCAAGTGGTGACAAATATCGTTACATGTACATAAAATTTTTAAAAACTTTATTAAATTTTAATATTTTGAAAGATTATTAAGAAAAATATGATTCATTTTATAAAATTTATTATTTAGTAGATTTAATACTTGCAGTGTAACTTCACAATGTTAAATTTAGTAAAGTTTTTAAACAAAAATAGAAATTAAAAAGAATTAAAAAGAGCTGTAACACAAATAAAATGATTATTTTTATTTCTGAAAAATGACGATTAATAAAACTCAGTTTTTGATTGTATAAATTATTCTTTTATCAATATTATTGTAAACATAATGTTTAATAATATTTCATTCTTTAATATGATCCCTTTTCTATCTCAAAATCCTTTCACTACTTTACCAATATAAAATAAACCTTCAATATAAACAAAAATGGTAATAAAAGTAGCCAAACTTTATTCCTATTTTAAAAGTTTACACCAAATATGTTGATTTTTTTGGAATATTTGTTTCTACAATCATTCTAAAATATATAATATTAAATTTCTTTTAAAAAATGTCTTAAATAATAATTTTTATTATACGAATTTAATGTAATAAAGAAATATTCCTAACGTAAAAAAATGATTCAAGTTTATTACATAAGCTTAATTGTATTTTTAATTTTTATTAATCAGTTATTCTTATTAATATAAGTAGTCGATAATAATTTTTTCATACACTACGTGATTACTAACACAATTAATAACACTTAATAACAACAAATATAATTTATAATGGTTCTTAAGTAATTTAATAATGTATTTGTGCCTCTAAATCAATTACTCACATCTTTAAAAATATAATGCAACAGGAAATAATTTCTTTGAAATCTTGAAAGGTAGGTATTAATTTTCAAAATTTCAATATTTAAGAAATGTTTTATTAATATGCGTATTTATACATAAAATTATGAATATTTGACGTGAGGTCATATTTTTTATCTACATATACTTTATTTTCAAGGTTTCTAAGAAATATATTTTTTATTCTATAAATTACATTATTAGTGTACATGAGCAGAATTTTCAAAGTTAAAACTGTTAAATACTCATATAATTCATGTGTAATTGTTCTTTGTTTCATTTACAAAAATATTTAACAAACATAATTTCATACATTAATATTATTTAATATTGTTTTATTAAAATTGTGAAAGCTGTCATTTTAATGCAATAAAAATTGATGATAAATTTAAAGAATTTTACCTTAAGAACAATATTATCTAATTTTCATAAATAACTTTCATATTCAATTACTCTAGAAAATCTTATTTTTTTAACAATAACTTAAGTATTGTATGTAAACAAAATGATAATTAAATAATATAAAAAGTTAATCTGTTTGAATAAGTAAAAGCTTTAAAAATATATTTGTAATTATGAAATTGTAAATTATATAAATCGATGTTTTCAAAAATAGATTAATATAGTAATTTTTTTATCCAAATTTACTTATACATTAAAGCGATATTTAATTTAATTAATATTAAGTATTTTGCATTCTAATCACTAGTAATTTGCCATTTTTCAAAATTAGCTTTAATAAATATAAATTTTCTTAGTGTAAATTGACAGCTAAATATTTTGTTTATTCATAAGATTTTTCATTCACTGTACAGCATATTTGTTATACATTAAAAATTGTATATTTAATGTAAAATATATAATCCTTTGTTATAAAAATTATTCGAAAAAAATACATTAATATGTACATTAAATAAAATTAGTAATAACTAAATTGATAATAATGTAATATGATATAAAAGAATTTAATACCTGTTTTATCTTACCTTTCAATTTAACTTCTAACACTTTTATTATATATATCTAATTATCAATATGAAATTAAGATAGCAAATTATTAAAATTTATTTAAAAATTCTAAATTATAATAGAATTGATTATTAAATTAAAAACTATAATTTTCTTTCTTTTATATGCATAAAGATTTAAATATTTATAAATTAGATCAATAATAAGTGACTATCAGTATTTTATTTATTAATAAACGGTTATTGAATATTAACAATGTGAATTATTTCTATAATTAATAATATAATGGAAATATTTAATACGTAAATTGAAAATTGAATTATATTTTTATAAATAGCTTATTAAAATTATTTTATGAAATTTAAATCTATGTTTATAAATTAACAATTTGTATAACTATAAAATAACTATTGATTATATAAGAAAAAGATTTTTATTTTGAAAATGTTCGATATCCATTAGATTTCAATTTATCGAATAAAAATCTATATTATCAAGTTAGCGAAATTATTGATATTTAGTACTTTTATTTAAAATACTCAATCAATGAAATAAAATAAGAAGAAAAAAGAACATTAATCTGTAACGTTTATGAATTTTTTTAATTTTATTTTATCTTTGAGCTCATGAAGAAGCGATAAAATCATTCTTGTACTTGGATAATGAAATAACTGCAATGTTTTCTGAATTCAGAATTTATTTACACATGCATCTAATATATAAATAAAATATTTTTTAAAATTTGATTTTATCATATGCGTATAAAATGTATTGCTTAAATGTATTATAATTAATTTTAATAGTTTATGAAATTCCATAATATTAAAATGATTTTAGTAATTTTGATAACAATTTAAGATACGTAACCTATGCAAAAACAAATTTAAGAGCTTTGTTCTATTGGTATAGAATACGTACACGCACATTGTATACATTTTAAATTCACATAAATTTCTAGATTAAAAGTAAATTTCAATATATAAGCTGTGTCTAGATAATTATTTATATAAGTAAAAAATTCTAGTAAATTAATTCTGTAAAACTGCTGATCGTGAAGACATTCAGTTTTTAATATAATATTTAAATCTTCCTAAAAGTTTTTTCGAAATACTAAATTAAGTAAAATTTAAATTAAAATAAATAAATAAAATTTCACATAAATATTTTCATTTTCAGTTTAATTTGCAGTTGATAAAGTAATGTACTAATATAAAAAAAATGATATCTAAATGCATTTTTATAAGAATTATAATTTAATATGGAATTTGCGAAACATTTGTGTATTTAGTCTTATAATTCATTAAAATACACAAATTTTTATTCCTATCAAGGCGTACCTTTATGTACATACATTTTATTACAGTCAAAATACAAATTGTTATGAAACTATGCCAACTTTTTGAGTATTGTAATTTATTTAAATTGTATGTTAGAAAATGCAATAATAAAACATGATCAAGCACATCAACAAAGCGCATTTGTTTGTGCTACAGATGATTGCGGTGTAGCGATGGGAAGCTTGCTGCCGGCACTCAATTTCTTGTTGAACGATGGCGATGTTGGTGCCCTCGATGCTGCCCTACTGTCAAGCACCACAACAGTCTCATTCGTAAATCTCAAGGAGGTCACTGGCTTCTTCTGTGCAATGCCACAGCATATCTGCTGATAGGTTCGATCGATCGAACACCAATTGCTGGAGTATAACAACGATCAATACGTCAACAGATCCCATGCTGCAGGATTGCATTATAGGTGACATTATGTCAATACTTCAAGACACTATCGTTCTCAACCTCATCTACCTTGTCTTCGTGTGGGCATCGCATAATCACGTTTGGCAGCTTTGCCTCAATTATTGCGCGCCAGTAACACGTGATAACGGCTGAAATAAAGTATCGTCAAGAATACTGAACTATGAAATATGTGCATAACGTGATATCGTTGTCGCAGTCGATTTCGTCATTATCATTATCGTCGTCATCGCCACCTATTGTTGTCATTACCATTATCATTATAATTAACACTATAACAATCATCATCATCGATATTACCGTGATGGAAATTATCGAGATATGCACACATACCAAATGCCCATCTCTACTAGCAGAATTTAGAAATGAAACGTTAACATTCACTAAACACATAATTTTATGTGCTCATGCATTACATGATACAGTTGATGGAAACTGGCACTTTGTATGCAGGGGAAAAAGTGACACGTGACAAGAAAAGCAAAGAAATAATTTGTTTGAGTATGGAAGTTATAAAGAGTATGAGGCGTGAGAAATAGTATTTGATAAATAAGGAGATTGAATGCCCATTTATACCTTAGGTAATTCAATTTATACAATACATTAGAATGATTTAAAAAAAAACTGAAAAAGATATGGAACACAACATATAGAAACAGGAGAAAAGAATTGTCCATTTATACGTGATACAACAATGACAACTGAATGTTATAGCCAATTACTCTGCTTTATGAATACGTATTATTATTATTATTATTATTATTATTATTATTATTATTATATAAAACTGAATTATTATACTGATAGATTTCCATTGTGATTGATCATAACGTCGAATCTATTATATGCAATTTATTCGATTCTAACCGAAAAATATCATAAGTCAAATTAATCTGTAATTTATATATTATTAGAAAAATATAAATTATAGAAATTTTATATTACTCACGTTAAAGATAGTTTTTCATGTATTATATATTTAACATCACTATATAATTAAATTACATAATTTATATGCAGTTATACTTAGAATATCAATGAAAATCTAAAATATATTTTCATTTGTGCATTTGCATGTTTTTTTATTCATAAATTGATTTTTCTCAGCATTGTAAAAATTAAAGCAGATAAATGAACTACAAACATGATATGCAACTTACATTTATATTTTTCATGAATTTATAAAATATCAACTCGATAACAATGTAAGTATAGTAAGTTGATTTAAATGAAAGGGTGCAAGA